AACAGCATATGTCCCATCCTTGTCCATGTTACTTGAGTCTATTGAAAGAAGTAGCCAGTTAGACACTGATTGACCACTTTGGCCTGTGAAGATTGCTTAGCGATAATGGCGGTGTGATGAGGGCTAAGAATTACCCGAAGCGCCTTGGTCGGTGCCAGAAGTAGTGTGTGGTACCAGTACTTCGTACGCGGACTGCTGACCCATGTGTGACCCTTTATTTTTTTAAGACCGCATTCACTAGGAAACCAGCTCCGGTTCTTTATTCATGTATAGCTGCTATGAGTTGCTAGCAGTGATAATGTTGTAGCCTATTAATAGACATAGAAGAATTGAAAATGTCGCTATAAATGTTTATACCCGCCACTGTGAAGTCCAAAACCAGTCACTCCCATATTCCTGGGTATCCAAACGCATCCTACATGCGTAATCTCGCTAAAGGTCATGCTCGAACGCCAAATGGATGCTCTCATTTCAGTAGAACCAAGATCTCGCTGTAAACGCCGGAAAATGCTAAACTCTGTCCATAATTAGGGATCAAGAACTATCATCAACAGGGTCGTGGTCCTCCATCTTATGTTTCTGTTTCAAGGCATCGATAGCTTGGTAACCTGCTCCTTGGCAGTAGTCTCCAAGTCAATCCTCGCATCAGCCCCAATGGTTTCAACGTCGCCCACTCGTTCATATAACATTCGTGATATATTCCGATTAATGTCAGTGTACTCGTCCTTCGACAAAGTCTTTGAACGATAGTATGGCTTCAAGGCTGCACCGACTAGTTTCTGTATGTCGGTTTTGACTGCTAAGGATAGGCTGGGCCGGCTCGGAGACTTGTCGTTGGCTCTAAATAAACTCGAGCGAAATGCTGCTCTTGGAATCCGGCGTCGGGTGCTATCTGAGAACCCTTGCGATAGTGTATCGTCTGTAGAGTTTGGAGAAATATCGGGCGAAAAGGGTGGCGACGAGGGATGAGTGGGTGTCGCGAGCTGTAATGGGGATATCGGCCTACTCTTTGGGTGAGGTGGGGGTGTTGTGGAGGAGAGGCGGGGCGAGGAGTGGTTAGATGGCACGGGCGAGATTGATGGGGAAGAAGGCCCAGGAGTAGCATGGTCAGTTGCTGCAACTGAAACCTGGGCAGAATTCCCCAGTGAATTAGTGTCGTTTGAAGCGTCCTCGACTTCTTTCAATAGGGACTGAAGGAAACTTGGTTCGCTTGAGGTTTCCGCATTAATTCGAGCGGAAGCCTGAGCACCAGCAGCCCTAGAAGACTCGCCATTCTGAGTAGCTAAAGCAGCCAGGTCTTCAGTTCTGCGGGTTCGTGGGCGTTTTAGCTTCCGTTCGGGCTCGGTGGGTTCTGGCGAGGGAGACATAGTCGGTTCCTTCCTTTTTCGGGCCCCACTAGGATCATTTTCGATCTCACGAGCCCTTTCAAAAGCATTCCACGCCCTCATCTCTTCCAAAGACTCAGGCTCAGGTGTTGGCTCCCTCGGCACACGTGGCCGCGATGGTCGCGGAGCCTCAATATCGAGTAAGGCAGCCGTATCCCTGAAGCGATTACTACCACCTTGTCGCTCTGCAACTTCAAAACGACGCTGCCAAGCTCGGAACTCTCGCTGATTGGCCTCTTCCCGTCGCTGTTGCTGTCGGGCACGCTCGGCAGCCCTATCATCATCAAACGGAAAATCCAAGTCGAGGTTAAGGTGATCCCAAACGGACTGCCATACTCGAGCCCAGTGAAGGGAGTTCATCTGATTACGGCTCTGTAGCTGCCGCTGCTGTGCCCTTGTACGACGACCGCGCCGCTCCTGAGCCCGCGATGGCCTATCAGTACTGTCGGGGGACAGCGCTCGAGCACGTTGGGTTTCGCATCGTGAACAGTACCAAGGCCCAGGCGGGACAGTGTCAAGCCCCAGGCAATACGTATGCGAGGGGGCATCGCACCCATCACATAAAAGGAGAAACTCTTCGTTATCAGAATCTCCGCATATAAGACAAGGTGAGAATGCGGCAAGATCGTCTTCCTCGATGTACTCTATCACCATTGAAGGATCGACATCCGCAACTTGAACGCGGTCCTGCACAGCATAAGAGGAGAGTACGGGACCTATTATGGATAATCCATTCAATTAGCATATACATTCATCCGACTGTACAATAAATCCATAAAATTGAGGGACGGTGGTAGGTAGTGACTGTGAAACATACCTCCGATTCGGTCACTGAGTTCCACAACGTTGAAGCTGCGGCGGCATATTGGACAGCTGTTCGCTCGTTCAACCCAGGGCTTCAGACAATTGTTATGTAAGATATGACCACAGGGGAGCAACTGGGCGATCTGACCAGAATCCTCACTGCCATCCACGCCATCTGTCTTGACGAAGGTGTCGGTCGACCTGCCATTTACTTGAGCATCAAGTCTTGGCGCGGCCTCGGCGGAGACGGCAAGAGGATCGCTGGCGCTTTCGCCAAGGTCTCCTAAACACACAATACAAGTGTCGGACATTAACAGAGGATTCTGTGCCAGGACTATCTGCAGGGAAGCTAAGAGAAGGCATGAAGAGCAGCTGGCAGAAAGGGATGAAAGGCAGAGGAGTGGAAGGAGAAGGGAGAGAGAGCAGGTCGAGTGATGTGGGGAGAAAGCAACCGGCCTTTTGAAGGTGGACCTAAAGTCCGGTCTAACGCAAAACAGTCTGGCCGTCAACGTGACCTACCAGGCTCCAGGCGAATCATTATTCAAGAAAATCGGACAAGGCACTTTGGGCGCAGCCCTCAAGGTTGCTGACTCTGACTTCCAGAATAGAATTGTAGCTGAAAAGGTGCCCTTGCATCTCTACTATGAGACATGCCCCTCTTGTCTCCCTCTTGTCTTGTCTTTTCTTTTTCTTCTTCTTCTTCTTTTCTTCTTACTATCAGACCGCCTGTGTAACGTAAACTTGCCCTGGTAAAATTGAAAAGGAGACTAAACAAGAATGCGACGAAAAATTGATATTGCCAGGGCTTGTTCAAAGCATCTTGTGGTGCCGAATACAAGTAGATCGAAATGGAATGTTAATTGACCCGAAGGTACTCCGGTCTCGGTGCTTGGACAGGGAGGGCAATGCTATTGTCAAAACCTTATTCTTAACAGGGGCAAAGCGATATGCTACATTTGGACGCAGAATCATGGAGGGGAGGCACATAGATAGAAACAAAAACCAACGAAAGATAGATGGCCTACTCCGCACGGTTATCTCGTTGGGTGTACGGGTTTACTCCACTTGTATTTCAGCAGTCCTGTGCTGTCAGAAGACGTGGTCACATGTATGAAGAACTCGAGAGTGATCGTGAGCGAAAAAAAAATATCCAGCGTGATACGAATGAAAGAGCGGTAGAGGCAGCAGACATGGTAGATCTGGAATAGCTGATACGCCATCTTATTTGCAGAAGACCTGAAATCACGGGTTATATTTGTGTCTATTGGTTAAGTACCATTCGGTCCAGAGGATGGCTGGGTATTCGTAACGAGGAGCCCTTGGGAGCTTTCCAGATCTTGAATTTCGCTATTTTTTATTTCAAACGTAAGATAAAGAAAATCCCATCGTGACACTTAAACCTCCGCGATTTCCCTGAGACGACGGATGGTGGAGCGGGTGGCAGCGGCGGCGGGGGTGCTGTGGCACAATTATCGATCAGTATTCGTCCCACATACTTCACCGCATGATACACAGTCCAGCATGAACTGCCCCCGTGGCAATCGAAAATCAAACTGATGGGGCTCGACTTACGAGACGGTGTAGGCACCACCAGCGACGGTCTTCTTGCAACCCTTGCACTCCCAGATACCAACAGCCTGGCGCTTGACGGTGTTCTTACCGCAGAAGGTGCAGACGTAGCGGGCGTGCTGGGACACTTCCATCTTCTTCACCTGCTTACGCAGGGAGGCACCGTATCTGTTAAATCACGTCGTCAATACATTGTCCAACTCGTCGAAAGCTCGATTTCGAATCCTTCATTTAATCGTGCGGAATAGGAACGCGATCGGCTTCACATCGATTTCTAGGCGAAAGGGCGCAAGAGCATACCTGGTACCATATTTACCCGTGATACCGACCTCTGGAATATTATGTTAGTCTCGATTTATTTCCCAGTTATCTATTAGGCGTATTTCTCTATAATAGAGCACTTACTCTTAGTGCGCTTGGTCATCTTGTCTCCGTGCAGCTGTTGAGGTCGAAGATGGATACAGTGCGGTAAGTCGAAATCGAGACTGAGGCTTTCAAGTGGAAGCGGTTGTGGGTGTCCAGGCTCGCTTAGGGTTCAAGTCTTGGCCTATCACGTGATTTGGTGTCTGCGCGAACTATGAACAAATTTAATAGGTAAACCTCTCACCAACACCAAGGAAAAGGGAATAGATTTTCAAAAATACTACCTTGTAGTAAAACAAAAGATAGGGACTAGAAGTATATCTCTACAAAAAGTCATTCGGACCTCAAGACATTCATAGTTCCTCTCATCTTCAATATTTCGTGCCAATTTTCTATATTTTCTATCTTATCTAAAATTTTACACCAAACTCGGCTAGTCTGGCCCGCATGACATAAGAGGGGATCAAATGCAACCAAAGCATTTGCACAACAGTAGTAGCCACTGGTTCTTTGCCACATTATGTTATCAAGGCAATGCTGATACTTGTGCGCTATACATGCATGCATTGTAAATTGAACGCTTGGGCATACCCTGTACATTATTCTTCCATCATAGGGGTATCCCGTATTTACTATTGTTGAACAATTCTTTCGCCGCTCTAGTCACCTGAAAGGGGGATGAGCCCTTTCCACTTCTGGTTAGTCTAGCGGCCAAGGCGATCATCTCACGTCACCGAGCAACCATGCTTAAGCTATCTGTATCTTCGTGACTTTGCTAGTAGATCCTGTGTCTTTACTTGAAGAATCTATAATTTATCTAATTATCCGTGTAATTTGCTCAACTTCGATTACCAGTGCATTCTCCCCCTACCCTTGACAATGGAGTCTAAGAGGGAGTTCGACCTGATCCTTCTAGGCCCAACTGGTTACACAGGTAGACTCTGTGCAGAGCATATTGTTAAGAACCTTCCTACGGGCTTAAAATGGGCTCTAGCAGGGCGTTCGCCCCAGAAGATTGAAAATGTTGCCAAAGAACTCAAGAATCTGAACCCCGACCGCGCCGAACCAGGTACTATATGAATCCGTACTACTGTGAGAACAACAAACATTGTTAACCTACCATTAGAGATTCTGGCTGTCCAGCTCAACCGGGAGGAATTGCACTCACTCGCTCAGAAAGGCCGTGTGCTTCTCAACTGCGTTGGGCCATATCACTTATACTCTACTCCTGTAGTTGAAGCTTGTGCCAGCAACGGAACGCATTATCTCGATGTGTAAGTAATTCATTGCAATCAGGCCGTGGACGCTATAGCTAATCTGTGTAGCACTGGAGAAACGCCCTGGATCAAGAGTATCATCGAAAAGTACCATGAAACTGCCAAGTCAAACGGTGCCCTAGTGCGTGCCATCTTCTTATTCCTGTTCGCATGTTGATTCCCTGACTGTTTTAGATAATCCCCTCTGTTGGCGTCGAGAGTGCTCCTGCAGATATGTTGGCCTGGGCCCTTGTTAAGCGTATACGTGAGGAACTTTCCTGCGATACCAAGGAAATTACGTGCGCAATCGATGAACTGAAGTATACCAGCCACTTTTTGACCACCCTACCGAATGCATAGTGCTAACAACGTTCCAGGTCCTCCGGGGCAAGTGGTGGTACTCTTGCCACGGTCATGACCATGTTTGATACACTCTCGTTGCTCGATATACTCAAAGTAGCAGACCCATTTGCGCTCGCCGCATCCTCACCACCCAAATCTATCCCCAGCGAACCACTCGTGGAAAAAGTGTTGGGTGTCCGCTCAGTCCGTGACATGGGCACTCTCACCACCGCTCCAACAGCAATTGCCGACATTACTATCGTGCACCGGAGTAGTACGTTGATGCCAGAGTTCTACGGGCGTCGGTTCCATTTCAGACAGTTCCTTAGGGTGAGGAACGCGCTCGTTGGTGTTGCACTTCATTTTGCCTTCGTCACCGGCTTGTTACTTTTGCTCCTGCCCCCCGTTCGGTGGCTATTGAAGAAGTATATTTACGCGCCTGGCAGTGGACCCCGCATGGAGGACTCAGTCAATGACCGACTGGTATACCGTGCTGTGGCGACAGCTGATCAGGACACGCCGGATCCTAAGCGTGCACTTGGAAAGTTGAAATACGATGGGACGATGTATGTTTTCACAGGACTCTTGCTGGCAGAAGCAGCCATGACTATCCTGGAGAATGAAGATAAAGTGAAGAAAGTCTCTCGCTGCGGCCTTGTAACCCCAGCTACCTTGGGCCAGGAATTCATTGACCGTTTGGAGAAGGTTGGATGTCAAATCGAGACGGAAGTGTTCAAATACTGATGACTGTCTGCGACTATGATGTTGACTTACATTCTGATACCTGGAGGATTACGCCTTTTTTTTTTTTT